GCCCCGAGTCTTTTTCCAGGGGTCTCTAATCTCGGCGGCGAATCGGCCCCACGGCCGCTTCCGCACGCCGCGGAACCGGATTTCTTGGGCCGCCGTGGGCTTGGGTTTGGAATTGCATAATTGGGCTCCTGCTCCTCCTGCGGCTGCTGCTGCTGCTGCTGCGGTGGCTCTGCCTCCTCGCCGCATGGGAAAAAGAAACCGAGAAAGAAAAAGAAAAAAAAAGGAGATGGTAGGTAGAGATGAAGATTGAAGAAGGGCCTTGGATGAGGGGGCTCTGTTTTCTCTCTCCTTCTTCTACCACCTCCTTGAGGGGTTGGGGTTGGAGGGGATTGTGATTGTTAGTGTTGTAGTTGTTGGGTCTTCTTCTCCAATTTTTTGGTGTTTTTGGATTTGTTTGATCACTTTCTTTCTTCTCTCCTCTTTCTCTCTGCCTTTGCTGTTCCTCTCCTGGTTTTCTTTCTTCCTTTCGCTGTTTGTTATCATTTTGCCTTTTTTATTCTTTCGAAATGGGGAATGCGGAAAAAGAAAATGGCTGTCGTGAAATTACCTAAACACCATTCCTCTACAAAAACACGTGGATTTTTGTGCTTTTTTTCTGCCCTTTTCCATGTGTCTCTCCATTTCCTTTTTTCTTATTTCAAACTAAATGCCCCTCTCTTCTTTTTAACTTCATATTCTCTTGCACACTCTATAAGGTCACGTAAAACGCCAGCACATGCACGCAATGAGAAGATTTTTTATCTTAACCCCAAAAAAAAAAAAAAAAAGATTGTCATGCCATATACACATTTGTTGTTTTAATTGAACTATTTATCTATATTTAAATTATTTTCAGTGAAAATTCGTGATGTATCGAAATTCATAAAAATACTTGAGTGTCGTGGTCATATTGTCACGTATCTATATATTTATTCTATGTGTATATTTATTCGATTAATCCGTTATAGCATGTCAATACGATGATTACAAATTTAAAAAAAGAATGTGACAATCGTCTAAAAGAAAACAGAATAAAGGAAGGCCACATTAAAATAAATTATTTCCAAAAAAACATAACGGTGGGTGAAGTTTTATACATTTTTTAGGAAATTGATACCATTTCCTCATATGGTCGCAATAAAATTGTTGCGGAACATTACAGGAAATTTTTGAAGCCTTAGATACCCTATACTATTATTAGAGTGCCACAATTCGAAGATACTTTATGCATGTTACTATAATTGCCCTATTCTCTTCATGAATAATTAGTTAGACAATTACCCAATATTACAAAGTATTATTAAATTACATCAAAGATTAAAATAAATTGAATTGATATCCATCAAATCAAATTAACTTATTTCCATACTTTTTCTTCCACTTATAATATTTCCGAGGAGACATAACAGCTTGACCCCAATACATAACATCCTCTACAAGGGCATCCTGAATAAAATCAAGGACACCTCAAACCACTCAAAATTATCATTTAGAGTTACAACAAAACAAGCAAGCTGATGTGCAACTCCGTTGCTAACCCGAGAAGCATAATGGCACCTAGCCTCCGTGAACCCCTGCAAAACAACACGAGCATCTTCAACAATCCTCATTATGCGAGGTAACGGCGTTTACAACAGCCAACGAGTCTCCTTCAAGCACAATTCCTGCCTCATGTATGAGACTCGCAAAACAAAGTCCTTCCCAAGCCGCCAAATCTTTAGCATGGCCCGCCGATGACATATATGCGTAGGGCTTTGCCATAGCAGCCACAAAATTTCCTGCACTGTTTCGTATAACTACTCCCACCCCCGCAGTGCTTCGAGCGAAGATGAAATTTAAATACTAATCATCAGTACATAAATTAGTTAGTGGTAGGTAACCATACTAAAATGAGATTTATTTCCAATGGAGTCTAATTCAATGGAAACTAGCCCTAACTTGAAAATTAGTGGTCTCATATTTGAACTCTCATGATACTTAAGGGCTCGTCTGGTAACGTTTTTAGAGAATGTTTTCTGAGAATGTTTTCAGAGAATGAAAACAAAAAAACAAATTTGCATTGTCAGGAAATGAAAATGTGTCTGGTATATTAATTAGAAAAGATATTCAGAAAACAAAAACAATGAAAATGTGTCTGGTAGTACAATTTGAAATAATAATATGTGAGTTATTTTTACGAGAATGAAAACAACTTTTTTCTGTTTTCTACAAGTACACATGAATTTGTTTTCATTTTATGAAAACATTCTCAGTGTTTTCTGTTTTTGGGCCACCGAACGTGTTTTTGTCTCATTTTTGTTATCTGAAAATGAAAACAACCTCTTAAAACGTTACCAAATAGGCCCTAAGTGTGTGTGTGAGAAACCTCATTCTCTGTAGTTTATATTATCACTTGTATTTTAAAAAATATATTATCATCTATTTTTTCGTCTTAATTTTTTATTTTCTACATTTATTTTATACAAGTAATACTGATATATGAAAGAATTGAATACATGATCTTATGTGAAATGGTAAATATTTTTAGCCACTTTAATTACAAGCTCTTATAATTTTCATGACCATTAAATACAATGAAAATTAGATGTTCTCTTTCGCTGGCTATGGGGATTAATTGATCTTTATGAGATGCACAAGAAGAAGATAGGTAATTTATCATGGTTAAAATCAGAATTAAAACCCTTGGGGGCCACTCATTTACTATTTTACTGGCAGTATATTATTATTGAAGCTATTTTGCTGTTGCTGTTTTAACAGTCTTTAATGTGACGGGTTTGCACCTCATGACTTATTCCCCCAATCAAGTATGAGTGAAGCAGACAAAATAGGATTAGGTGCGTGATTGAAGTATTTATTTATTTTTAAAAATTGCAATATGAAAATAAAAACTTCTTTTATCGATGGAAAATTAGTTAGCTAAATTTGGACATATTTCTAATGTTAGAAAGATGAATATCATTCACAAAGACCTAATTGGTCAAAAAACAATTTGAGACTTTACATAGTACATTGAGAGACTTATTGTTGATGTGCACTCTAGTTATAAATAT